TCATGATCAGGGCCCATCATAAGTGTTCCACGACTCGTGGCCAACACAAAGACGAATCCATCTCACGATCATCTCAATGCTTAGTAGAGATCACAACTTTCAGTCACAAAGCCACCCCACGACTCATGGTCAGTGACTAAGAACCGTAGCGTCGTCATGTCATCTACTTTTGATGGAAGGCATGGATTAATTGTTCCAACCTATTTTATCCATTTTCAATTTGATATAGAATTAATCAAATTAATTCCTTCGGGTTTTTACAATCTCATCATTTGTTATTTATGTTTATTTAATGCAACATTCATCACATGAAATGCTAGAAAAATAAACCATACATGCATCATATGCGGAAAGCGATGGGATGATCACGGCCATGCCTATTCGACCCATTCGAGCCAAAATGGGTCTATGCCTACATACGGGATAAAATAACTAGAACTACTTCTATTACATTTTATTTTATCAAACCGTACAAGCACAGGACTTCAAAATTTACAACTTGTAAAATTACCCACACAAACGTGGCCTTTTGCATCGAACGACCTTCAACCTGATCTAATCTACTCTCTATGCAATAATTTAAAATTATACAAATTATTGAATAAGAGACTCGCAGGTATCGATAAATTACAAGCATTCAATCATATTGAATAAAAGGCTCATGATCATCCCTAAATAAACCATTCATCACATGAATTCAACCATATAAATTCACCAATTTAATATGTTGATATAGTAATGAATCATATAAATTTACCAACTTTTGTGTGTTGATTTAATTTTGGGATTATATTAAACTTAACTATTCATAATAGTTAATATAAAATAATAAAAAAAATATATATAAATCAACAATTGATTATAATTAATTAATCATGAAACTAATTTCAATATATACACAACAACTTGTATATATATTAATCAACAATTGATTATAATTAATTAATCCCAAATTTAAAATCAAATACAACTTTTCTATCACACACAAAATTATATAATTTAACAATTAAATATGTTTATCTTATAAACATTTAATCAATTTGCTTATCTTATAAACAAAAACAAATCAAAATCTGTTTTTAAAGATGATAACCGAGGCTCTGATACCACTGTTGGGTTCGCCTGTATCATACGGGTGATTTGCAGCGGATTTTTTTTTTTAAAACAAGTATTTATCATATAAATACTCAACCCGTAAATACATAAAGCGAATAAACATATCGTCATCATTTAAAAACATGTATAAATACAAATTAAGATAGTTTCGAAGTTACCTTTAACTTGAACTCCTTCAACTTTGACGATGATAGAGGAAATCAATTCCCGGTTTAGCAACGATCAATTCTTCTTGTTACTCACTTTAGGAATCCAATCGTCTTCCCTCTAATAGTATCCACCTTTTGAAATCCGATTCCGAAAAATAATTTCTTCGCTAGTAGAAATTATTCGGTTTTTCAATAAGTATAGAAATTATTCGGTTTTTCTTATCTTTTTCAAATTTTTCATGACTTAAAATTTTCTTACAAACTTAGCAATTATGAACATCAAGAATGTCCATATTTATACTAAAAATTTAGGTATAAAATAATGATGTCTTGAATAACTTTCACAAGAAATGTAAAGATATTCAACTTAAAATATTTATGTCTTGAATAACTTTCACAAGAAATGTCAAAAAGTCTTGTATCACTTTTACAAGAAATATTAATAAATCTTGTATCACTTTTACAAGTTAATACAAGAATAATATAATGTAATGTGGGATTCCATCCCATCCATTATATTATTATTATTATTATTATTATTATTTAATCTTTAATCTCAATTAAAAATTAATAATAATAATAAACAAATAATTTTAAACTCTTTCAAAATTATTTGTAAATATATTTTCTCCCATATATAAAATCTCCTCATTTAATAATCATATTATTATTTGAATTTGAATTTTAAAATCCAATTTTAAAATCCAACTATTAATTTAGTAATTCCATTAATTACATAATTAATATCCAAAAATAAAATTAATCAATCCAATTGATTAATTTAGTATATTCCTTTAATTGACATCTAATCACAATTAGATTTTATCAATTAATCCTAACTCTTTAGAAATACTAATTTCATTTTACCTTCATTCAAAAATTGGTGTGACATTTTAGGTTCACTATTAATACTAGTAGTAGGTTTTACAACTCTTTGTAATTTGAATTAATCTAATTAATTCTAATTCATGAAATTAACTCCTTAATTTCAAGAACCTACATATCATGGGAACATCTAGCAAGTAGCATGATTATCTAGTATTAAGTGAAATAGCGAGTAAACCTTTTCGATTACAATTACATACATGTAAAATCCTTTCGACAACTAATTTCCCGATTAAATCTTGGGTATGGTTTTTAGTCGAAACCCATTTGATTTAATAACTATGATTCCATTTCAAGTTTAGTAATTCGTGTATGAATCTCTATTCATCCCGCCTTGGCCAAGGTCTTTGAATCACAAACTATGAAAAACATAGGAAATTCACTTATCTTTATAAGTGTCGAATTCTTTGTTGGTCACAGATAAACCTCCATATATATTAATACAGTACCCAAAATATCCCTTTTGTGATTGTCCAGCAATCAAAGGATAAATCAAAGTAAAGCACAATATGCATAAGATTACTATCGTGCCTCAAGTCAAAGGATCAATCATGTACTATTGCAACATGAAAATTCTTATTCGACAGTAAAAAGTTCCATTTAAGAATTTTCATACGGTCATGCTCAGTGAACTTGTTCCCTAACAAACACCCATATATATGTATTTGCGTCCAACGCTAATGTTGATGGAATGCAACATTCTTTTCCAACAAGCATACATCATATGTGCAAGTTTTATCAGGTTATTCGATATCCCATCTCGAAATACCCATCGACTTGGAACTTTATTTAAGATCAAAGCTTTCAAGGCATCTTCCATGATTACCATCCAATGCGTAACCATGCCTTATAATTTTTAATGATCTAGGGACTTTATCATATGTCCAAATATATGTAAATACATAAGATAAAATAATGCCTTTTATTTAATATAAATTCCAATAAATTGTATTTACAAGTAGAATGTATCCAATCTGATTGGAACGCTGGGTATTCTACTCTAACATAATCATACATAATATGAATCTTTAATTTAAATCAATTTATTTCTTAAGTAAAAAATAAAGTATAATTTACCAAAAAATTGTTTATAATGTTTATAGATTATCTTTTAAAATTATTGAAATCTAAATCAAATTGTGTACCATATGTTTGAAATGGTTCATTAAAAATATAATAGTATTTGAGTGAAAAAAAAAAAAAAAATTACCAAAATTGGAATTTTAATATATATTTATAACTCATGAAAATAATTGTAATTAATTAGATCAAGTTAAAAAGAAGCATATGAAAACTATTTTACTGGAAGAAGAAAGATAATATGAATAATATTGAAAAACTTTGCTAACATATGTTAATTGAGTTAACTGTTTTATTTAGTTAATAACAATAATGACAAAGAACGGTCTCCTTCAACAAGATAAAAAGACAAAATTGCAAACTATCACATGCAATGCAATTATTTAAGTAAAAAATTTTAATTTAGTTTTACTGTGCAAAATTTTCAATCTTCTCCAAACAAATAAAGATTTCGAATAAACAAGACTAATTTAGATAATGAAGGTTTCACCATGCAATCTTTTTCACCATGACTTTTAAATATTATTATTTTGAAAATTGTATTTCAACTTTCATTATATTTGACACTGTCTATTATGTAATGTACTTTTTGTGTTTGATTAATTGAAAATAATATTGAAAAAAAAATTGAATTGACCATAAAAATATAAAGCAGAAAATATAATTTAAAATCTCATTAAAATACAAATCATGTATCACGTGCATCGCACGTGCACATTACTAGTTATACTAAAAGGGTATAAATGTATTTTGAGAGCAATGAGTAGTAATAGTGGGCTGATGTATACTGACACCATTGTTTTATCACATATCACTTGATAAGATGATTTATTCTCATCAGGCCCCTCAACACCATCTCCTTTGGCATCTTTATCAAAATAAAAAATTGGATCTGACTCACAGCTGACAATTTGAAGACTCCTCTCCTTATCTATAGTACATACTTTCTTCGAAGACTCCTCTCCTTATCATCTTAATTCCATCTACGTCGGCCAGGCCAGGCCAGGCCAGCCTGTTAAGTTTCATGATGAGGCAGTTGACTCTTGCCACCTCTTGTCTATCTAAATATTTTTCTTTTTATAATTAGTACATGGAAATGAAGATAAAAGAGTGACTTAATGTTGCCTCCCTCATAATCATTATCACAATTCTAATCACTGCTGTGTACAAGAAGAAGCCAATTATAGCAGCAAATAAGTACAAAATCCTCTCTTTTCAGCAGCATCTCACCATAAATTTGTAAGTGACATAATCCTGTTAGTTTAATACGATTCTGGAATTTAATGTTTTAGTTTTAATTTTTTAATTTCTATTTCTAATTTCCCTGAGCTTAAATTACTGTGATTGTTTGATAATAGCCTGTTATTTTTCTGTGTAAGAAGGGATAGAGTATGTTGATAGTCACTATTGTTGATGGTGCTCGATTATCTTTTATTGTGTTTTTGAGTTGCTTAAAGCACTTGTATTTTGATTAGTGCCTTCTTTTCCCATCTTTATCAAGTATTCCATTTCCCGTTATTTTTGTCAAAATTATCTTTTATGTGTATGAAAAAATGTTTAGAGTGCAGATTTTAGCTTCAAGAAGAATCTAAATTCCAACCATTACAATTGTAGATTTATTAGAAAAGCATCGAACGCCCCAGATATGTCTCAGCTTAGTCCTTGATAGTTTCCAACTGTAGACTGTTTATTCAATATGTGATTTTGTGATGCAAAAGTCAGTTTCACTTAGTAAGCTTAGGAAAACGGGAATAGCAATATCGCTGATACTGTTCCTTTTTTGTTTTTCTTTTTATGTGAAGAGGCCTTTTTGGTGATTCTTCCCCCCAGAACCTGAAAAAGAAAAGAAAAAAAAAAAAATCAAAAAGAGAGGAAGAAAGAAGAAAAATGGCGGTTGGAGAAGTGTTTCTCTCAGCATTCATTCAGGTTCTATTCCAGCAGCTGGCCTCGGCAGCCACCATGGCCCTGGCCCGCCGTGAAAAAGTCGAGAGCCATTTCAAGAAGCTAAGCCAGAGCCTGTCCATCATCAAGGCAGTCCTAGATGATGCTGAGGAGAAGCAATTCACCGAGATATCCGTGAAACTGTGGCTGGAGTCCCTCCGCGACTTAGCATACGATCTGGATGACCTTCTGGATGAGATCGAGACCCATGCCCTGGTCCAGGACTCGGAGGAACAGGCCCAAAACTGCAAACGAAGGAGCAGAGTCTGCAGATTCATCCCCACCTGCTCTAGCTACATGCCAGGCGCCCTTGTCTCCAATTACCGCCTCATGTCCAGAATAAAGGGAACCAATAACTGCCTGCAGGACATTGTGAAACAAAGAGTCGAACTAAAATTGGTGGAGAACGTGGGCGGCTCATGCAGCCGGTCAACCGGGATTAGACCGCCGAGCACATCCCTAGTGAACGAGTCCCACGTGTACGGACTGGATGAGGATAAGGAGAATGTTATTGACATGTTGCTAGGCAATGAGGTCTGCCACGACGATGTTTCGGTGATCCCGATAGTCGGGTTTGGCGGAATTGGCAAAACCACCCTTGCCCAGATTGTGTACAACGACATGACCGTGAAGGATAGTTTCCATGTGCGGGCCTGGGTGAGTGTGACCGAGAAGTTTGACCTGATCTCCATCACAAAAACTATTTATGATTCGGTGACTGGATCAAACAGCGAGTCCCATGACCTGGACAAGCTCCAGGTGAGCCTCAAGGACGAGCTGGCCAAGAGCAGGTTTCTGATCGTGCTAGACGACGTGTGGAACGAGGACTACGGGATGTGGGATAAACTGTACTGCCCGTTCCAGTTCGGGCTGCCCGGTAGCAGGATCATAGTTACGACCCGCATTGCCAGTGTGGCCTCCATGGTTGGATCTCCGCGCACGGCCTACCACATGAAGTTGTTGACCGACGAGAACTGCCTGTCCTTGCTGGCGCAGCACGCGCGGACGTCCTTCGACGAGGTTCTCGAGCTGAGGGATGTCGGGCTTGGGCTGGCCAAGAAGTGCAAAGGGCTTCCTTTGGCCGCCAAGACTCTCGGCGGCCTTCTGCGCTCGAAGGAGACAAAGGAAGACTGGGAGAAGGTGCTGAGTAGCAAAATATGGGATTTGCCCGAGCCGCATAATATCCTCCCCGTCTTGAGGCTGAGTTACCAGCACCTCCCATCTCATTTGAAGCATTTGTTCGCCTACTGCTCGATTTTCCCCAAGGATTATAAGTTCGACCGGGATGAGCTCGTGCTCCTGTGGATGGGGGAGGGGTTTCTCGAGCAGCCGAACCCGACGGTACGCAAGGAGGAGCTCGGCCTCGAGTATTTCAACGAGCTGCTGTCGAGGTCTTTTTTCCAGCGCCTAGGGAGAAGCGACTCGCGCTTTGTCATGCACGACCTCATAAACGAACTGGCCCAGTTTGTGGCGGGGGAGAGGTGCTACCGGCTAGACGAGAAGATGGACACCAATCAGGAGTACCACGTGCCTGAGAAGGCCCGCCACAGCTCCTTCCTGCGCCATGAGCACGAGGTTCTCCAGAAATTCCACACGTTCTATCAGGTCCAGGGCTTGAGGACGTTTCTGCCTATGCCTGTCGATGACCGTCGCTTCTTGCGGCCCCAATTCTACCTGTCTAACCGTATTCTGGTGGAGTTGGTGCCAAAGCTCAACAGCCTGAGAGTGTTGTCCCTGAGCTGGTATAGGATCACCGAGCTTCCCAGCTCCATCTGCAACTTGCTGCATTTACGCTACCTCAACCTGTCCGGGACCTTGATTGTCACGTTGCCCTACAATTTGAGCGCTCTTTTCCATCTGCAGACTTTGTCTTTACGTAACTGTCGCCGTCTATGCAAGCTGCCGCGCACATTGGGGAACCTCTCAAACTTACGGCATCTGGACAACTCAAACACTGATCAGCTGAAGGATATGCCAATTGAGATAGGTAACCTGAGGAATCTCCAGACTCTGCCAAAAATTGTTCTCAACAAAGACGGAGGCTGCTTGGGGCTGAAACAACTGCGGTACCTGAGGCATCTGCGCGGATCCCTGGCCATTTTCCAGCTTCAGAATGTGATGGATATTGAGGACGTGAAGGAGGCTAACTTTAGATGCAAGAATGATCTTGATGAGTTACAGCTTTGGTGGGGAAGTGAGATCGACAACTCCAACGACAAAATTCCCGAGGAGGATGTGATCGACCATCTTCTACCACACGAGAACCTAAAAAGCCTCAGGATCGAGTTCTACAGGGGATCTAACTTTCCGAGCTGGATCGGTGATCCCGCCTTTCATAAATTGTCGAGCATAAGCATCGTCAACTGCTCGGAGTGCTCGTCTCTGCCGCCTCTTGGGCAGCTTCCCGAGCTCAAGCACCTGCTGGTCAAAGGTATGCCCAAAATTAAACAGGTGGGGACTGAGTTCTACGGGACAGGCACCATTGTAACCCCATTCCCAAAGCTCAAGAATCTTAAATTCGACCATATGCCCGAGTGGCAAAAATGGACCGGCCCCACTGGCAGCTCGTGCGGAAACATTGAGTTCCCTAATGTGCAACGCCTCTCGATTACCAGTTGCGGGAAGGTGGCTGAAGTCTCTCCGCTGACCTTCCCTACTCTTCGCACTTTGAACGTCAAGGAATGCAGCATGGTCTTGCTGGAAAGGTTCTCTGGCCTGGAGTCCCTGATCGACCTTGAGATTGAGTCCATTTTCGGCCTATCTCATCTGCCGGTTGAGGTCATGCGGTCCCTGGTGGCACTCGAGGTCTTAGAGTGCCGCAGCTGTAACGAGCTGCTTTCGTTGTGGCCCGAAGGTGTCCCACTCGATCAGAACCTGGCCCGCCTGTGGCGCCTCGTCATCGCCAGCTGTTCGCAGCTGGTGTCGTTAGGACAGGGGGACCATCAGCTACCACCGAACCTCGAAGTCCTTGATTTACGTGATACGAACCTGGACGCTCTCCCGAACAACCTGAGTGAATTGGAGTCCCTAAGGGAGCTGATTATCAGTAATTGCCAGAGGTTCGTGGCCTTCCCTGAAAACGGCATTCCCAGGATGCTCAAGTATCTTGTGATACAGAGTTGCAACTCTTTGGAGTCCCTCCCGGCCAACATATCCGGCCTCGAGTGGCTCAAAATCAAGGATTGCTCGTCACTCAGAACGTGGGCTGTGGCCCATTTCCCAGCCACACTCAAGGAACTCTCGATCGATAACTGCATGCAGCTTGAGGCCGTCTCCGACGGGATGTTTCCCGAGTCCAGTACCATGCTTCTAGAATATCTGTTCTTGTGGAAATGGCTGAACTTCAGTAATCTGCTCCAAAGACTGCACGGATTCGCGCACCTGGTCAGGCTGAACCTCATGGGCTGTGATGGACTGGAGCACTTCCCAGAACACGGCCTGCCTTCAGGCCTTCGAGACCTCTCGATCGTGGCCTGCCCGAGTCTCACGTTGTTGCCAGCCAAAATCAGCACCATGACATCGCTCGTGTCACTCGAGCTGGAGGGGTGTCCGAGGCTCGATAATTTTCCAAGGTGCGATCTGCCCCCGAACCTAACCTCGCTCACGATAGTGGGTTGTGAGAATAATAAGCACCTCTCCAAGTGGGGCCTACACAGGCTAGCTTCCCTCCAAGAGTTCACCATCTGCGATGGATTCGATGAGCTCGAGCAACTCGGGGAGGACGACTGTCTCTTTCCTCCTTCTCTAATAAGATTCTCGATTGCTGGATTCCCCAAGCTCACTTCGCTTGGTAAGGTGCTTGAAAATCTCACATTGTTGAGGCACCTATCGATTGAGGACTGCCAGAATCTAAACGTCTTGCCTAGCGAAGCCCTGCTCGAGAAGCTGTGTTACCTGGAGATAACCTTTTGTCCGCTTCTCAGGCAACGATGTGCAAAGGACAAGGGAGACTATTGGCCAACGATAGCAGGGATTCCTGAAGTGGATATTATTGCGATTTAAAGCAGCCAAAAATGATTTTTTTGCTGTCGGTCCGTCTTCCCTCCAGCATCGAGAGCTTGCCGGTCCACTGGAGCTTTGGTCTCTCCTTGGGTGCCGATAGCCTGGGGCATTCTCTCTTTGGGTCTCGTCTTTGATCCCTCCGATGTTTAGTGGCGACTCCTTCCCTCCAGTGTTCAAGTCCTGCAAAGCTCAGATTTGGACCGAGACTTCACTCCTTGCCAGATCTGTCGAGGTGGTTCAATTTTGCCCGTAATTTTTGAGTCGGGGGTCTAAGTTGTTGCTTGATTGGTTCTTGTGCTGTGGAGTCTTGCGGTTGTAGGTTTTAGAATTTGTTCGATTGCCCAATAGGTTTTGGGAGGTTTATCTTATTTGTTTTTTTTACGTGTGCGCGTTGGTTGTTGTCTTTATTTTGTTGATTTGTTTTGTTTAGTCCAGTGATTCTGGTTTAGTCTTTTATATGGAGTTAGCGTTTTCTTTATGGAATTTTATTTTGTGATTGTTCGTCCTTTGATGGAATTTGTACCACTTGCGTGTTATTACAAGAAGGGATGGTCCAAATGTCGTTCTGGTCTCAGTGTGTCACTTGACATTTCGGTTGTACTAATTGAGTTTTTACGTTATTAATATAATTGTTGTTTGAAAAAAAAAATGTATAATGCAATCAAAAATGATTTTTTTAGTAAAGTTAAAAATTATGGTAGGAATTTGAGAAAAAATTGTTCAATAATTCTAATAGTTTTAAAAAAATATTCATTAATTAATAAGAATCATGCTGAGTATGCATAAAATGCAAAAAAAATAAGCAAAAATTAATTTAACCAATATTTTAGCGGTTTATTTATCTACGCTATCTATACGGGCGGGCATTTTATCAAAGGTTTCTAATCTAACCCTTGTGTGATTCCTGTTGAATCATAGACTCTGGGGCTATCTATACTATATCTATACTATTATAAAAGGACGAGTGATTTTGTAAAAATAATGATCTGCCTAAAAAATCCTTACTTTGACATATTTTTAATGGCAAATTAGTCATACAGTAATACCCATCTTATTTTATATTTTTAATTAACAAATGAACTACCTAAAAAACTCTTACTTTGACTTAATTTTAATGGCAAATTAGTAATACACTGATACTCTTCAAATCTTATATTTTTTAGTTAATCACTAATATTTAATTAAATAAATAACAGCGTAACATTGAAAACTATTACGATACACGCCCAAAGTATGACTCAAATAATTCTAAAGTTTACTAAAAATGATGGAGATTGAGGTGGTCTTTGAAGAAATTGTTATGATTCCCTTAGCTAAGTAGCTGTTGGAAAAAAAATAACTCTTCCACAGAAGTCCACCAAAACAATTGGTTCTTGTAAACAATATCTACAAAATAATTTTATGTAATATTTAGTCCAAATGTTTTATTATATTGTATGTCTAAATATTGTGCTAACTAAAATGGTAACTCAAATACTACTATAAAAGGACGAGTGTTTTTATAAAATAAAAAGAACTAACTATTATACCCTTACTTTGGTATATTTTTAATGGCAAATTAGTAATAACATAATATATATCCAATCTTATATTTTTTTTTATTAATAACTAATATTTACCTAAAATCTCCTTTATTTGACATATTTTTAATCTCAAATTAGTAATACACTAATTCTCATTTAATACAATTACATGAACAAAACATTCCACATCTCTTAAAAATCAACCACAATATTCACACCATTATTCTTCAAGAATTTGGTTTCTTCCACATATCTCCCAAACCGTTTTCTTCAATATCTCTAAAAAATCAACTCAACATTAACCCAAACAACAAAGTTTTGAAATGATATTGAATTTTTGTTTTGAATAACGTCCTTATTTTTAATATAATTTTGATGATAAAATCGTATTCATATTTAATGATTTTAATATATAAAATTTATTTAAACAAAAAATTATGCAACAAAAACAACATAATAAATACTTATAAAAGATCTAAATATTCTCAACTATTTGTTTACCTATCTTTTAGCAAAACGATAAATCTTGGTAAACATGATAACTTAGTTGAGAGGTGAATTTTATATAATAAATATCTTCCAAGATACATACATAACTTTAATTAAGAGAAGATACCTAAAATATTACCGAAATCATGCACACGTGGAATATATACATAATCTAATAAACTAGAAAAATGGAAGAATTCATTTAACTAGATCATTATTTAAGAAAAATAAACTCTTGTATTTAGAACTAGAATTAGATTGCACCTTAGTTTTATTGGATTGAATTTTGATCCCACAAAAATCGTCATTGTTTAGTGATTTGTATTTTCAAATTTTGGTCGCAAAGCTAATAGAGTTAACGAATCTTCACGTGACCATTAAGTGATTAATATCAAGTTGCGTAATTTTTTAATAATTAAGACTTAATTTATTTGAAATTTTTCATTCAATTATTAATAAAAATGTTCATGACATTTTAACTATTATTATTATTATTATTTTATTTGAGCAATTAATTTTCAAGTTGAGTGCTCTATAAACGATTATAATTCAAAATTTTATAAATAAAATATTTTATTTATTGATATTATTTAAGATTCTTAAATACTTTTATGATTTTCTCAATAAAATTTAAGAGTTTTATTAACCGTAAGTATCCTATCAAATAAGATAACTGTTTCAACAATATTTATTTAATTTTACAAGTTTATTAATAACTATAAGTACAATATTTAAAATCGATGTTGTTTGTCCTCATAACGACCACAAACTATATAAATATTTTTTTTCAAAATAACATATAAAAAAAGAATAAATTATGTTATAATATGAGATATAATTTTTTGAATAATTATTTTGCAACCTAAACTTCTAATCTACTTAATTTCTTTATGTAAAATAATATTAGAATAATTTTATGAAATTATATAATACTAAAACCCGGTCTAATTTTTTTTCATGTCGAATGAGATATTAGTTGAGCAGCATGATTTTATTTTGATCATACAATTTTCTACGAATTAATTAAGATATCTAAAGATTCGTGATATGCCTATACGCAGAAAATTATTTGTTTTTACCAATAATTATATCATATATCACCATTACTCCTCTATTATTAATAACTATAAATAATAAAATTGAAATCCATAATGTTGTCCTCATAACACCCATAAAGTAAAGAAACAGTTTTTTTCTTTCAAAATAACCTATAACAAGTAATAATTTTTGTAATAGTATGAGAGATTAATTGTTGAATGATTGTTTTGCAATTGAAACTTCTAATCAACCCAATTTCTTTGCTTCAAATAAGGTTAGAATAATTTTATGAAGATGCATAATACTAAAACCCAGCCTATTTATTTTCATGTAATGAATGAGAAAATTATAATTATATATAATAAAATAGAACGATGTACAATTAATTGATATATAATAAGACATATGACCCAAAAGGTTCCCTATTTAATTTTATGTATTCTTTAAAAATAAGGATAAAACTTTTAATACTTGTACTTATCGATGTAAACGAGTTGAGTCACTATTAGAGGAATTAAGAGAGCTAATATTGGCTTTTTGGTGGATTCAATTTCTTAACGCAATTCAGTTATTAAACGCTTGTTAATTTTTTGTTCTTATTAATTCTAAATGTAAGTTTTAGGTGATAGACAATAGTTATTTGTACTTTTATCCATCATTATCCTCAAATTAATTAAAAATATATAGTGAATCATGATATGCCTATATACGTTGAAAATTAATTATTTTTACCAAGAATTTATATCGATATAGCACCATTACTCACCTATCTATTAATATGTATTATTACAATAAATCAACTTTATTAAAAAATGTACAAAATATATTTTTTTAATATTTGATAATAATATTAATTAGAAAATTGTAATTATACATAATATAATATAAAGACGTACAACTATAATAGATATAATAAGACATATGACCAAAAAAAGTTACATACTTAGTATTATGCATTTTTTTTAACAAATTTAAAAGTTATATATATATACATATATATATATATATATATATGTGAAAGAACAATATAAAGTAAGAAAATATTAAATCTGATACATAATATTAAAAATATAATTAAGTTGTAATACTTTTTAATACATATGAAAAAAAAGTAATAACTAAAAATTTTATAATTAATAAATATAAATATAAAACTTTTAAAACTTGTACATATCGATGTAAACGAGCACGATTGTTACTTTTTTTGTGCTTATTAATTATAGGTGTAAGTTTTAGGTTATTGACAATAGTTATTTGTACTTTAATCTATGTAGGGTAGATTTTAATTTTTTTGAAAATAAATTGATTATTGTAAATTTAAATAATTTTTTATTTGTTATTAGCTTTTTTGATATAATATATAAATATTATATTGCATATAAAAATAATACTTATTTCCATTAATATGTAGGGAAAGTAATTCAATTGAGAAATTAATAGGTAATCTCAACATAAAATAACGAGTGACTTGTAAGAAAATCATATGGACTTAAAAATAGATGTTTTAAATATATTTTAAAAGAAAAATTATACACACAATTAATAAATAAAAAAATTACAACATAAACATTTTAATGATTATGAAAGAATACAAAAATTCCATTAAAATTTCAACCATTAAGAAAATTGTCACTGAAATTGGAAAAAACAATGAAAGTTCCATTGAAAAACTAGCTGCAGTGGCGAATCCAAAATAATTTCATGTTAAGAGCACTATCCAATTAATACAAAAAGTATTGCATCAAAACAACATAATGTCATTACAATTTATAAAGTATACTTTTCTTAATTTGTCAACTTTCTCATATGTAAATATTAGTCAAGTTGTAAATATCGCCGCTTTCTTTCCCCAACGAAAACCCTAGCTTCCGACAACCAAATTCGCCGCGATTAGCCTTCTCCGGCGAAGGGGCGGCTCAGGCCAGTGGTCACCGTCGACCGCTCGGCCGT